CTCAGACCCCGCCCCCGCCCCAGAGGCCCCGCCCCCCAGGGGGGCCGCGCCAGACTCACCGAAAGCGCACGGACAGCAGTGGGGGGCGTCAGGAAGTCCCGCAGACACTCGATGTTGAGCACCTGCTGCACCTGCGCCCCGCCGTCCACCTGCGCCGCCACACGCTTGGTCTGCACGGCCAGCTGTGCCCGCGCGTGGTCAAGGAAGCCAGAGACAGAGGGCGCGGGATGAGGGGGTCTTGGCCACGAACCCGGGTTCCCTGCAGGCCTTTGGGAGGCCCGGTTGCGCAATCCTGGACCCACTCTCTAAGGCCCAGCTACACAGTTCCTTCTGTGTGAGAAACCCTGCTGCACCCCGGTTGTCTCCTCGGGCCTTCCAGTGTCATGTTGCACTGAGACATAATGGTATGGGCTTGGAGGCCGACTTGGGTTTGAATCCAGCTCTTACCCTGAGTGACTAAACTCCTTGGCCTCCTCTGCAAAATGGACGTGTGCAAAACGTCCTCAGGAGTCGATGACATAACCCACTATAAATACTTGTCTGTTTGGCACACAGCGGGAACACTAAGATGGCAGCCATAAGCGTTACCATCTTCTGCATTCAAGTCAACAACCCATCTGCAAGGGCTGGGTCTCACACACATCTATCACTCCGCCTGGCATGGAGCTGCCTACAGGAGCCTCTGGAAATGGAGGAAGAATGAGCAAAGCCAAGAACTGAAAAGGTTCTGAGTTTGGGGGTCTAGCCTCTCTAATTTCATGGATGTGGGCCATGCACCGTGGCTCAAGCCTGTAATCCTAGCACTTTGGGAGACCAAGGTGAGCAGACTGCTTGAGCCCACGGGTTCGAGAACAGCCTGGGCAATTTGGCGAGATCTCATCTCTACAATAAATTAAAAAATTAGCCGGGTGTGGTAGTGCGTGCCTGTAGTTCCGGTTACTTGGAAGGCTGAGGCGGAAGGATCGCCTGAGCCCAGCAGGTCGACGCTGAGGTGGTCGCGAGTGTGGTACTGCACTCTAGCCTCGGCGATGGAGTGAGACTCCAACTAAAAAAAAAAAAAAATTCATGGGCGTGGATATGGAGGCCCAGAGAAGGGGCCAAGGGGACTGACGCTGCCAGCTATTCTTCAGGGCTGCCCAGCCCACTCTGATCTTTAGCCCTATGAGAAGAGGAAGGTCTATGCTGAAGGGATAGGAGGGCACAGAGAGGCAAAGTGACTCAGTGCAGGTGACCACACCGGAGAAGTCCCAAGTTAGGATGTAGACCCCTCAGGCCTGACTCCCAAGTGCAGAAGGCACGAGCATCACGGGCATGGGGCACGACAGAGGATGATGTCAGGACATGGAAGGCCCAGAGCAGGTGGGATCCTGAAGGCATGCCTCCTGCACATCACTTCATTCATTGTCATCTCCTGTCACAGGGGAACAAGGCCCACTGCCATCTCACAGATGCAGATATTGAATCTCAGCAGTAACCTTGTGCCCAAGAGGGGCCAAACAGGGGCTTCCCAGGGTGAGGAAGGGCGACCTGGAAGGCCAGGGCGAGCCTGAGAGGATATGAGTCTGGAGGTCTCCTGGGTGGACGACAGTGGGTGAGAAGTTCTGGAACTGCACCGAGGTCTTGTTGCCATAGAAGAGATACATGCGGCCTGCGGTGGGTGGGGGAGGTGGGGCTTCATCCGGTTCCTCTGACTCCCCGGCCAGCCACCACCCAAGCTGGGGTTCCTCTCCAACCCACCCCCACAGTCCACCCAGGCGCACCCAGGTTCTGCCGGAACTCTGACTTGACTCCGATTTGCAGCAGCTGGTTCTCAAATAGGACCCCGTTGTTCTTGCACACGAACCTGGGGAAGGTTGGCCAGACAGGGGTGCACATCTGCACCTGGCTCGGGCTCCCCACCTGTCCCTGGTCCCCGCCCCCATCTCTCCCAGGACTCACTTATTCAGCAGTTCATCGGCTTCTGGAATGGGAGGACCAATGTCTTCAGGACCTGGGCTGGATGTAGGAAAGGAGTCAGACGGGAAGGGACTTGGGGGGCTGGAAGTGAAGGCCCAGAGCTCATGAGTGCAAGAAAACAAGCCCCGAAAGGACAGGACCCCAGAACCGCATACCCAGACTCTTCACCGAACCTCAGAGAACCCCAGAATCAGACCAGCAGTTGCCTCTAATGAGAATGGGACCCCGAGTTTCATTTTCCTCTGAGTCCCAGTCTCTGCTGCTCGTCAGAAACCCTAGCCCTCCCTGGGAACACCAGAGTCTGCCCTCCCGACCCCCTGAGGCCACCCCTTACTCAGCAGCTGGAGCTGGGTCAGCCAGCAAAGCCATGGGGCTCTCGGGGGCAGGCGGCTCCAGCTCACTGGGCCATCCAATCCCAGAGCAGACAAGAGAAGACAGGCGTGGCAGGCAGCCAATCCCAGAGAGGCAGCAAGAGGGCCGAAGAAGAGAGAGAGAAAGAGAGAGAGAAAGAGAGAGAAAGAGGGAGGTGGGAAGGAGAGAAGGAAGAGCAGGCTGAGAAACGTGATGGGAGGGACGCTGAAGGGTGGCCAGGGCCAGCAGAGTCCAGAGTGGCAGGAGGGAGGGAGGAGGCTGGGGTAGGGGAGGCAGCAGCCAGGGTTGGCGAAGGCATCAGGGACTGGGAGAGAGGGACGAGCCCCACGGTGGGGAGGGGTTGAGGGAAAAGTGGGGCAGAGGACCAGAAGGGGCACCCTGGGGGTGCTGTGAGGAGCGTCGGGGCCAAGCGGTGGTACCTGAGAAAGGCATCCTCCGGAGTGGGCCCCAGGCTGGGCTGGGCAGCAGGGCCATCAGAGAAGACATCCACCAGAAGGTTCCCTGCACCTGCGGGAGCCGGGGGAGCCGCTGGGGTAGGGGCTGCCCGCAGCCCCAGGAGGTCGGCGGAGGGCGAGGGCGTGGACTGCAGGAAGTACAGGGGAAGGTAAGAACAGGAGGCGCCTGCTGGCCCCAGCCCAGCCCACCTGGTGGGGCACACCCTGTGGGTCTCACCACGGTGCTGGGAGTGGGATCCACACCCCCATTGATGTCATTGCTGCTGGGGTCCCTCCGGCCATCATCCAAGGCGCTGCCGGCCCCCGGGCCCTTCTTTCGCTTTAGCTTGGCCAGGATGGATGACTCACGCTCAGGGAAGGGTGGCATCTCCTCCAGCACCGTAGCCTGGGGGTCAGTGGAAACAGGTGAGCTCCAGTGGGTCACGAGGAGGAGCGGGAAGGCAGGGTGTGGGGAGCGGGAGCCCGGGTCTGACCAGGACGTCGGTGCTGGCCACCGAGCTGAGGGTGAGGTATTCCACAGCCCGCTGCTGGAGCTCCACGTCGGCGTTGCGCAGCTGGGAGCCGGCCCGCAGCACGCCCTGGATGGTGGCCTTGGTCTCCGGGAAGAGGTTGATGAACTTGATGTAGGTGGACAGCAGCAGGGCCCGCGTCGCCACGCTGCACAGGTGGAACTTGGAGTGCAGCAGGGAGAACTGCACCGGGGGGCTGTGCAGGGGCGGGTGTCAGGGCAGCGGGTTCCACTGCCCGCTCCCAGAAAACCCCTTGAGAGCCACCACCTCCCTCGATGGACCCTTCCCAGGACCACAGGCCAGCCCGAGGGGACTGATCTCCCCTGAGGTCC